CTGGAGTGGGCTTTCTGTATTCTGAAGGTCTGTGGTTCCTTTTTATTGTGGCGGTTTCACCCAGTGGGTGGGGTTGGACGATTGGTTTGTCAAGGTTTTCTGGTTAGGGAAGCTTGTATCGGTGTTCTGGTGCGTGGAACTGGATTTCTTCTCTCTTGAGTGCAATGGAGTGTCCAGTAATGAGTTTTGAGATGGGTCTATGTGTTAGCTGTGACTTTGGGCAGCCTGTATGTTGACACTCAGGGCTATGTTCCTGCATTGCCGGAGAACTTGCGTGGTATGTCTTGCTCTGGAACTTACTGGCTCTTGGGTGGTGGTTGGTTTCTGTGTAGGTATGGAGGCTTTTGGATGACCTCTTATTACTTCATGTTCTGTGTAGTCAGGAGTTTTCTGTTGTTCTCAGGTTTTGGGCTCAAGTCTCCTGCCTCTGGATTTCAGTTTTATTCTTCCAGTAGTCTCAAGACTTCTCCAACTATACAGCACTGATAATAAAACTTCTAGGTTAATGGTGAAAAGATTTTCCCCCATGAGGGACACCCAGAGAGGTTCACAGAGTTCCATGAAAAAGAGGAGAGGGTGGAGGGAGACAGAGATGAGCAGGGGGAGAAAAAGGGGGACTCAAGAGGAGAGAGACAGATCTATGCAGTTGTCTGTTCCCAGAGTGTTCTCCATAGCCCAGACACCCACAAAGATTCACAGAATTGGATTGAGAAGAGAAGGGGGAGGGAGGAAATAGAGGTGTTCTGAGGTAGAAAATGGATAGTCAAAAGTGTGAGAGAGTAATCAACACACTCCTGAATAAAAATGGGAACTGGATATTGGATTCTTAAATGTTCCAAAATTTACATCACATACTGAAAACAAAGATTAAAAATCTAGAGTAGAGGTTAGACTCTTAAAAATACAATATTAAAAACAAAAACAAGAAATTTCTAAATATATATGAAGTTCAGTTTAAAAATAGGGCTTCTTTTTTTTTTTTTGGCAAGGTTATAGTGAAATGAAAATGAAAATTAAGGAGTAACAGAGGAGTAATAGAGGACTTTAAAAGAAAATAAGGGAAAAAATAAAACAAGAAAAAAAAATTTTTTCCTAATTAAATAGTAAAAATATATGAAAATGAAAATGTTAAGGAGTAATGGGGGAGTAATAGGGAATTTTAAAAGAAAATAAAAGAGAAAAAAAGAAAAGAAAAAAAATTTTTTTAACTTAGAAAAAAAAAAAAAGTAAAAATATATCTAGGAATTTCTCTGGAGCTGTTGCGGTCAGTGTGGGTTCTGTTCAGTTTCAGATAGCTCCTCGTTCCAGCTTACACTTCTTGATATTTACAGGCCCCTTCCGGTGTAGTCGGTGTTACCTACAGGGATTTTAATCTGTTGCACGGGTCCCTTCTGAAGCGGTTCCCTTTGTTTATTTGGCTTCTGTTTGCCGGTCTCTTCAGTGTCTAATTTCCGCCCTGACACAGACAGGCGGAGGTGGTCTCTTGTTTAGGTCCACTTGTTCAGTTGCGCTGCAGCGAGGGAGGGGCGCTGCAGCGAGGGAGGGGCGCTGCAGCGAGGGAGGGGCGCTGCAGCGAGGGAGGGGCGCTGTGTGTGTGGGGAGCACTCACAGTGTTCGGCCACACTGGGTTTGCCCCCACTCACGGGTGTGTGCTCTCCCGGTCTACACTGCTAAGGCTCCTGGCTGCTCTATATGCAGCGGGCCCAGCGTTGTGTGCGGTTCCAGTTTTCCGGTTCTCCACAAAAGCACGGAATTCGTTGGGCCTGCGTTTTGTGCCTTCCCTGGCCTGAGCGGCTCAGGCAGCCGGGAGCTTGACGGGCGCACTCTCCCCGGGTGCGGTGCGCCTTCTCCCCTCCGCGGTCCCAGCCTCAGTTCCCGCGCGTGCGCCAGTCGGGTGCGTGCGGCTTGTGTCTGTTCTTGGGAGCTGGCCTCTAGCCGTGACCCCCCACCCCCCTTCCCTGGCGGATGTCGACCATCCAGAATCTCAGGAAGTCTTTGGTTAGAAACTGGAGGCCTGTTTGCAGTGTGGTAGGGGGTGCCGTCTCTGGGGCCGAGTTTGCCCCCTTCCCGTCCCCCCTGCCTCCTGCCTCTGGCGGGGATGGGCCGGTCCGCCGCCTGCTAGCTCTTCTCTGGAATTGCTCAGTCCCTTTTTTCTGCGAACGGCCGGCTGTGTGTTTGGGCCGGTTAGTTTTCTCTCTCTCTTGCTATCCCACAGTTTAAATTGCTATCTCACGAAAGCTTCCTCCGATTGCTCTCAGGGCATTCGGCCCGGTCCTTACCCTAAGCAATGCCGCCCGTTCCTCTCTGTTCTGCCCCCACTTGCTGGTGGCGGATGCGGGCATCTGGGGCACTTTTCAGCTGGGAGTTGCTTTTAGGCACATAATCTGTGGGTTTTATTTTTCTCCCAGTTAGGTTGCCCTCCGAGATTCGAAAACTTCCCCCAGAACCGCCAGTGTGAGGGTTTCCTGGTGATTGGAAACTTCCTCTATTAAGACTCCCTTCCCGGGATGGGTCTCTGTCCCTAGCTCTTTTGTCTCTCTTTTTATCTTTTATATTTTGTCCTACCTCCTTTCGAAGACAATGGGCTGCTTTTCTGGACACCTGATGTCCTCTGCTAGTGATCAGAAGTTGTTTTGTGAAGTTTGCTCAGCGTTCAATTGTTCTTTTGATGAATTTGTAGGGGAGAAAGTGGTCTCCTCGTCCTATTCCTCCGCCATCTTGGCTCCTCACCCCATCTCTTTTCTCTTTGATCCTTATTTCTTCTTAGACATTTCTTGATGGCTTTATCCCTCATCATACCTTTAGGCTTCATCTGTGTGCTGTGTGTGTGTGGGTTGCTCAGTCGTGTACGACTCTTTGCAATCCCATGGACCATAGCCCGCCAGCCTCCTCTGTCCATTCTCCAGGCAAGAATACTGGAGTGGGTAGCCATTCCCTTCTCCAGGGGATCTTCCTGATCCAGGGATTGAACCTGGGTCTCCTGTATTGCAGGTAGATTCTTTACCATGACACCAAAAAATGACATTGCCAATTCAGATCTCTCCTGGGATTCATATAAACAGTTGGTTACTGGAAATCTACATTTGGATGAGAGGGGTTAAACCCAACACGTTCTTCTTCAAGCTTTTTTCTTGCGTTCTTTAGTTTGGTAAATAACGTTATATCTAATTGTTTGCTTAAACCAAAGGCTTAAGAGACATTCTCAACTTCTCTCTTTCTTGCATCTCTGCATATTTAATCAAAACTACTTTTTGTTGAGTGTGCCTGCTCAGTATCTTGCTTAGCTTGTCTTCTCTCGGTTCTTATTGCCACTGCTACTATATTCTTTGCATCTGTATTTTGAACAACTCCGTGCTAGTTTCCCTTCTCTGCTGTTGCTTGTTGCATGTTCTTCCTCTTAATTACAGGAGAGGTGATCTTTTAAAAACAGAGCTCCTTAACATGGTTTACAAGACTCTTTACCTCTGCATCCTGACCACTTTTACTTTATTCATATGGAATTACTTTTGGTCTGTCAAACACATCATGTATAATGTCTCTCACTTCTTGTTTCTAGATATTTCTGCCCATGCCATACTTTGGATAACTTTTAAAAAAGCAAAAACAAAGTAAATAGTTTTCTCTATGGCAACCAGTCAAGTAGCCCATAAAAACTAAAAACTCATAAGTAAAGTCACTACAAATGGGAATATTTGCAACCTAAACCTTTTCTTATCTCTGTGTACAGATAAGAAAAGGACCAAAAACCCAGAAGCAAAGGGAGCAGAGATCATGAATAGATGATTTTGCTTCATACTGTAGTAAAAGATGCTCAACTTCACTCACAGTAGGAGAAATGCAAAATAAATTTGAGTTATAAGTTTTTACATAATATATTTGCTGAAATCCAAATATTTCCAAATATGAAGTTTAATGTATCTGTCCAGATATAGAGTTTAGTACTGTATAGGTGGAATTGTGGGAAAAGAAGGTTTCTCATGTATTACTGGCAGGAAAGTAAATTGGTGTAAGTTGCCCCCAGAGGGCAATTTGCTGGTGTCCATTAATATACATATATATTGACATGATGCACAATTATAGTAGATAAAATATACCATAATATAATCAATCAGCAATTTTAATAATTAGTATCAGTTATTATAACAGTGATTTTATTATGTTATTAAATTTATATTATGAAATATGGTCATACTTATAGTATATGTACTTACTTATCATAGTATACTTCTATATGGGCTTCACCGGTGGTTCAGTGATAATGAATCCGCCTGCAATGCAGGAGATGCAGGAGACATGGATTCGACCCCTGGGTCAGGAAGATCCACTGGAGGAGGGTATGGCAACCCACTCCAGTGTTCTTGGACAGAGGAAACTGGCGGGCTACACTCCATAGGGTCATAAAGAGTCGGACATGACTGAAACGACTGAGCCACACACACAAACATCTATATTTTGTGTGTTTATATATTTTCTTGCTCTCACAGTTTCATGTTTGGGAATTTACCCTAAAGATATGCAAGCACATGTATTAGCTGACTTACCTATAAGCTTACTTATTTCAGTGTTTGTAATAGCAAAAGGGAACCTAGATATCTATAAGTAAAGGATTGCTAAGAAAAAAGAAAAGAATGAAGATGTTTTCTATGAATTTATGTTGTAGAGATATCCAGCAGAGATTTTATGTTATATGAAAACATCAAAGTATGTAACAGCGTGTGTAAAAAGTATATATACAGTGTGTGTAGAAAATGCTATATTGTGTGTTCAAAAGGGGGAGAAATAGAAATGTTTTTATAAAGGTTTCACAGGAAGGTAATAAAAGTGCTTATTCTTTGCCATGTTTCTGGGAAGTTTAAGAACAAGAATTGCAAGGAGACTATATACTGTATACTTTTTTGTATTTTTGAGTTTTGAACCATCTGAATATATTTTCTCTTAAAATTTTAAAAATCTATAAGAGATCTTACAGAAAATGCTTTTTCTTTTGTTTTTCTCATTAGTAAGCTAAAAAAGCTGAGTGAAGACAGTTTGACTAAACAGCCTGAAGAAGTTTTTGATGTATTAGAGAAACTGGGAGAAGGGTAAGTACAAAAAATACAAAAGTAGCTTTTAGATAATGACAGAACGATTATAACATACCATGTAAGATTAGTCCTTCACTAGAGTATATTTGATTGAATTAAACAGTAAGTGTATAGAGGGAATGTATCAATACCTGAACATAGCAGAGGTCATATATGACAAGCCCAAGCTAACATCATACTGCATAATGAAAAACCAAAAGTATAGGAAAACTTCCAAGGTAATAAAGGCATAAAACACAAAACATATTAGATCAGTAAGAACAGGGAAAAGGAAATAGAGAAAACAAAAATATAAAATAGTAAGATAAATTTAAGTTAGAAGGAATAAAGTGAAATGTATTTTTCACTAAATGTCAGTTCTTCCATAGACAGACTATTAGGGTCAATTAAAATGCAAAACCTAGCTATATGCTGTTTATAAGAGGCCTAATACAAAGGGTGGACATATAGTGGTATTTCCTATTAGAGACATGAGATAAGAAAGATGTAACCACATCAGAAAGAAAGCGTGAAATGGCAATGTTTATATCACATAAATTAAAGTTAAAATATCGTAAGTGAGAAAAGAGGAGTTAATATTCAGATAAAGAATGAAGAGGGATATTAGGTAGTGATATGAAAGAGAACTCATAATGAAACAGTAAGACCCAGTGATGTTGTGAATTGAGTTTGCATTGTAATTCAGCTTCTGGCAAGATTAGATTTTGGGTTTCAGAAGTCTCAGTCTTGGATGTATAAGAAATGAGATTTTTCTTCGAAGCATTCAGAAGTTTTCTGGATCTCTCAGTCTTGGCCTGGAAATTTAAGCCCTGAGCTTGTTATGTTTGTTTTATGACTTTTCCAGCTTAGTCAGGAGCAGCCATTCCATTCTGCAGTTTTTGTACTCTTATTTTCACTGTAACATTCAATTGATTCAGGTAGTTGATCTTCTAAAACTTTCCCTAGACTCCAGGAACTAAGGATAATAATTTAAATAATTATTTTGCCATCAGATACCTTAGTCTACAGTGTTCTGCTTTTCCCTTGCATTGACGTCATTGCTATCTTTAAGTCTAAGAAAGAACTAATCCAAGATTCCCATTTCTTAAGATTCTTTCCCTGGGAACCACTTCCTTCCCCAAAACTATTGGCAGCAGATCATGGTTGTGAAAAGAAAGGTCACTCTATGAACTCCAGGCATAAAGAGTTTACTATGAAATTTGGAGCTGAAATGACTTGTGCAAAGGCCGGGGGTGCAAAGGTTGTGGACTCTGTCACTGAAGCCCAGAGAAGCTGGTGCTGCAGGTCTCAGCACTGATGTGGTGTTTCTCCAAAGCTCACATGGGCTCTGCTGGGATCCCTGAGAATCGTTTAGGTGCTCCCACCAGCTCTCTTAGTCTGCAGCAGCAGTGTGGTGGTTATCAAGAAGCTCAGCAGGAAGGCACTGTATATCTGATGTTTGGTCAGGCATCTGCTGCAGCTGTATTTGAAACGTGATGGTCTTTCCTCAGCTTTTTGCCATTCAGATTTCATGAATGTTCTCATTGTCAGACTCTTAAGTGGGATCCATTCAGGGAAGGGAAATCTGGGAAATGTGGATCCTAGTTTTCTTTTGTAGTGACAGGAAGACCTTAGAAGAGACTGATGGTGTTGCTTAATTGGCAATAGTTAATCTAGCTCTTGAGTCTAGACTAGCTTTTGAGGGGCTATATATATATATATATAATACACCCACACGCATACACACACATGCACACACATATATATGGCTTCAAAGGGGGAGATACAGATTTCCCTTGCTCTCTGAAAGTAGAGCATTCTTATGAAACCTTTAGTAAGTCGAAACGTAAAGCAAAGAAGGGCTTCCCTGGTGGTTCAAACGATAAAGAATCTGCCTGCAATGCAAGAGTCACAGGTTTGATCTTTGGGTTGGGAAGATCCCCTGGAGAAAGGGAGTGGCTACCCACTCCAGTATTTTTGTCTGGAGAATTCCATGGACAGAGGAGCTGAAGCAGATATATTACAGCACATCTTGCTAACGTTTACAGAAAATAAATTGTGAGATAAAGCACAGATCCTCTCAGACAAAGCTCAGAGGTACGGTGGCTTGATGCTGAGATGCTGAGTGTAATTCTAGGAATGAGCTTGGCAGTGCCACTGTTGCTGCTCATGGTACTTTCTCCCTTTCTAACGGCTCCTGCAAAAATAAACGTTGAATGCTGTTTTTATTTTCACCTTTTTTTTGTAAAAGTGTAAATCCTCTTCAGATTTCATCTGGTTAGTGAAACAGGTGTTATTCCAGGCCTTTTGTAAAAATGAAGGGGCGTAAAGTGAATTTTTGAAAAGTGGGTTTACCTGTATATGTGCGTGTGTGTAAATTAGGACTAACACACACATATACATACAAACCCATGGTGAAGGTTTCAGTTACTCGTAAGCAGTCTGGGCAGGCGTGGGACTCTGATATTTTGGGGATGATTTTGCTTAAGGTGAGATCAGCCTTTTCTCCTAACATGAGATTTTGGCTGTTTTTATTCTATATTCCATTCTTTTAACTTCCATTTATGTATCTTCTTAATGCTGCACTTGTTTGAGTTGACAAACCGTAAGTCTATTTCTTTCATTCATAAGAAACAGAGCAAATCTTTTTCTGTTAATTTGGTGATGTTAATGAGTTTTAAGCCTATAATTGAAGCATTAAAGCTAAGATATAATTCACTTTTAAAATTTATTTCGTTTGATTTGTCACCATTGAGTAGTATTTTAAATTAGAAAAGACTACATGTGAACACTCAGACTCTTTCTCTAATAGTTACGATGTTTGAAAGGAAAAAAATAAAGGCATGTCTTGGTTTCTTTTAGGTCTTATGGAAGTGTATTTAAAGCAATACATAAGGAATCTGGTCAAGTTGTGGCAATTAAACAAGTACCTGTTGAATCAGATCTTCAGGAAATAATCAAAGAAATTTCCATAATGCAGCAATGTGACAGGTATGAAGAGATTTTATTTCTTTATTTTACCTTCATTTTGATAAATTTTGCTAGTCATGTACAATAAAATGTATTTAGTCATCTTAGTTTTTTCTTCTGACTTCCCATCAGAAGTGAGACTTATCTTTCAAGAAAGATGAGACTAGCTTTGTTGGGTTGTCTTAGGACTTTCAGTTCTAAGCAGAAATGATATTATAAAGCAATATGTGGTGATAGAATATACTCAAGCACTTTTCTCATTTTCAGGGGAAATTTACAGGTGAAAATTAGCTTTTGATATTAGGGAGAAGTCATTTAACAGTCCTTTTGCTGTAATTTGTTTTAAATAATTAAAAACACTCCTGGAGGAGGTTGCCAATAGATGGGGAAAAATGGAAACAGTGACAGACTGTTTTCCTGGGCTCCAGAATCACTGTGGATGGTGACTGCAGCCATGAAATTAAAAGCTGCTTGCTTCTTGGAAGAAAAGCTATGACAAACCTACATAGTGAATTAAAAAGCAGAGACATCACTTTGCCAACAAAGGTCTGTATAGTCAAAGCTTTGGTTTTTCCAGTGGTCATGTATGGATATGAGAGTTGGACCATAAGAATGCTCAGTGCTGAAGAACTGATGCTTTTGAATTGTGGTGCTGGAGAAGACTCTTAAGAGTCCCTTTGACAGCAAGGAGATCAAATCAGTCTATCCTAAAGGAAACCAACCCTGAATATTCATTAGAAGGACTGATGCTGAAGCTGAAGCTCTGATACTTTGGCCTCCTGATGTGAAGAACTGACTCATTGGAAAGCACCCTGATGCTGGAAAAGATTGAAGGCAGGAGAAGAAGGGGATGACAGAGGATGAGATGGTTGGATAGCATCACCGACTCAAGGGACATGAGTTTGAGCTGACTCCGGGAGATGGTGAAGGACAGGGAAGCCTGGTGTACTGCAGTCCATGGGGTCACAAAGAGTCAGACACAACTGAGCAAGTAAACAACAAAAATTAAAAGTCATGTTTTATGTAACTTTGATTTATTCAGCAAACATCTACTGGACATCCTTAGTGCGCCAGGTATTGTCACAGGATCTAGGAATACGAGGGAAACTAAGACATTGTTTTTCTTCTTGAGGAGCTGGTAATCTAGTTGGGAAGACAGATACTTAAGTGAATAGCTATAGTACAGTGCAGTCATTATACATGTGAGGAGATGTAAGAACAAGGAGGGAGGGCACCTACCTCAGCTAGGAGTCAGGAGGTCTGGAATGCTGAGGAATTTTAAGTCTGGTGAAGAAATGGAAGGATGAGAGAATGTAGAGAATTAAAAGTAGAAAGGTGAAAAACAGCTCACTGTTATGTGCTGTTCTGATAGGGTTTAGAATTACTGGGGTGGAAAGTAAACAGTGATTGGTCTGAAATGAGTTTGGATAGGTAAATGGAACTGACCATGAAGCTGACCTATTAAGTAGCCTGGCCTTTCGTAAGGGATGCAGAGTCTACAGTTAATCGAAGAGGGATTTATTGTTCTCCCTGTATAAAAGGTCTCTAGGTAGGGTTAGCCACCTAGCACGTAGTCTTTGTTCTCATGCTTATTACCTCATAGTTACAAGAGGGCTGCTCCAGCTCCAGCCTTTTATCTACATTCCAGAAGGGAGGAAGATGAGAAGCAGGAACGGGCTTCCCCGGAAACCCTCAGCTTATATTTTATTCATCAGAATTGCATCACATGGTGACTTAGAGCTGGTGAACTTAAAGGAGTCTAGACACATTGTCACCTTTAATCAAATCATTGGGCCCTATTAGTAAGAGATGTATAGAAAACTTCCTTTTCTAAAGGTATATAAGCTCCATATATTATAAGCTCTTCGGCTAATGAAGTGACTGAATAATCACAGAGGAACTTTGTTGCTTGGGTCTGTTCAATTTTGCTCTTTATTGTGTGCTGTATATTTAGATCATATTATGTATTTTTCATGAAGGCCATGTAAAGTGGTTATAGAAAAAACATACATTCCTCAGTTCCCTGATCAAAATATATATTTGCAGAATTTTTCCAGACCTTGCTCTTTATTTGATAACTTCATAAGAATGTGGCTCCCACAGTTTGATATAGATAAGGAAAGACTGGACATAGTGTAGTGCTGGGCCCTTCAGTTGTTTAGTGTTTGCATGTAACTATGATTATTTTATTGTAATGATTAAAAATAGTTCAGTTTCTAGTGTTGTGCTTTAGAGATTTTAATTGAGTGTGGTCTAGGAAAAAGCAGTGTTTCAAATATTACCTATTAATACATCTCCTCCCCTAATCTTTGTGCATCTTGGTGCCTATCAGCTCTTGTTCAGATTTCTGCAGCAGCTTCCTGTGTTCACTTTGTCTTTCATTTTTGCCTGCTTCAGCCTGTTTTCCCCCCTGAAGTTAGTCTTCTTTCTAAAATGCACACCTAACCAAGCCATTCCCTGTTTTAAACACTTCAGTGGCTCTGCCTTGCTTGGCTGAACCCAGTCTCCTAAGGATGACCCCAGGGTCCTGCATCATCTGGCCAGTGCTTATGCTGCCTCTCTCTTACCTGAGTTTTGCTTTTAAGCATCTGTTTACTTGCATTCTGTCACCCGGCTTAAATTCTTTTGAGTTTGGGGTGATGTCTTACTAAATGCCCTTGGATCCTGCCACATAGTGGCTACTCAAGTATTGACCGGTATTAACTAATTCCCATCACAATGACTCAACTGGACTATCCAGAAGCAACTTTATATTTAACATTCTAAAACCAAATTTTTAATTGTTGGAAGAAAAACCATTCAGATACCTATTTTGTTAATGTCATCATCATCTAGTTAGTTTTTCAAAAACAGAACTCATCTGTTTCTTCTTCTTATACCCCTGTTGACACTAATATTTGTAGAGTCTCCTTCTGAAATGTCTTCACTGTCTTTATCTTTTCTTCATTCCTTGAGAGAAGGAACCATATTTCTTTTTTTTTTTTAAATTTTTTGGAACCATATTTCTTAGCACACATTACAGTACCTCGCACTGTACTTTTTGTTCAATGACTGTGAATAAATATATATGGATAAGGAGAATGTGAAAGAGCATTGTAGGTTGAGGGAACCCTAGGGAAATTTGATATTTGTTGTTGTTATGTACTTTAAACTACTAACTGGAAAAAAAAATAATGAATTAAAGGGGTAGAAAGTGTTGCTCAGTGTCCGACTCTTTTCAACCCCTCACCGGGCTTCTCTGTCCATAGGATTTCTCAGGCAAGAATACTGGAGCAGGTTGCCAATCTTTTCTCCAGAGGAACTTCCCAACCCAAGGGTTGAACCCGGGTCTCCTGCATTGCAGTTGAATTCTTTAACATCTGAGCCACCAGTGAAGCCCGAAGGGGTAGAAAATGTTAACAAATTCTAGAAATTTTGTACCACTTTATAGCAGAACGCCTTGCACATAGTAAGTACTTGTCAAAGGATTTGTTGAATGAAATGGTGGAACATATATTGATATTAGGTTGATGCAAACGTAATTGCAGTTTTGGAATGTGAATTTTAAATAATTGTAACTAGGCTTAAACACATTTGTTGATCAAAATAGAAACCATTACAATCAACACATTTTTGCCAATGAGAAATAAGTTTGTTTATTCCTGTAGCATAAAAATTCATGCTTTGGGATTTGAGGAACTCTTGGAAAGCATTTTCTGTCTCCTGCTGATTGTGGAAGCATTCATTTTCCTGGCAAAGAGTTGTTGGAGATGTTTCAAGAAGTGGTAGTCAGTTGGCTGAGAGTTCAGGTGAATATGATGGATGAGGCAAAGTTTTGTAACCCAATTCGTTCAACTTTTGACATGTTGGTTGTGCAGCGTGTGGTCTGGTGTTGTCGTGGAGAACAGTTGGGCCCTTTCTGTTGAGGACTGATGGCGGCAGGTGTGGCAGTTTTCTGTGCCTTGCATTGATTTACTGAGCATACTTCTCAGATATAATGGTGTTGCTGGGATTCAGAAAGCTGTCATGGATCAAATGGGCAGTTGACCACCAAATAGTGACCATGATCTTTTATTGATGCAAGTTTGGCTCTGGAAAGTGCTTTGGAGCTTCTTCTTGGTCCCACCACTGAGCTGGTTGCACAAGATCTGCTTTCGTTGCAGGTCACAATCTGATTGAAAAATGGTTTGTCGTTGTTACATAGAATAAGAGAAGACAGCACTTCAGAGCAACAATTTGTTTGATTTTCAGTCAGTTCAGGAGGTACCCACTTACCAAGTTTTTTCACCTTTCTTATTTGCCTCAAATGCCAAATGACCATAGAATGATTGACATTGAGTTCTTCGGCAACTTCTCGTGTAGTTGTAAGAGGGTCAGCTTAGATGGTCCTCTCGGTTGGTCGTTGCCAACTTCAGATGGCCAGCTACTGCGCTCCTCATCTTCAAGGCTCTCTCATCTCCTTTGCAAAACTTCTTGAACCACCCCTGCGTGGTACATTCTTTAGCAGTCCCTGGGCCAAATGCATTGCTGGTGTTGTGAGTTGTCTCTGCTGCTTTACAACCCATTTTGAACTTGAATCAGAAAATTACTCCAATTTGCTTTTTGTCTAACATTTCTATAGTCTAAAATAAATATAAAATAAGCAGCAAGTAAAGTCATTTTGTTGTTTTTGAGATTGCATCCAAGTTTTGTATTTTGGAATCTTTTGTTGACTATGATGGCTACGTCATTTCTTCTAAGGGATTCTTGCCCACAGTAGTAGCTATAATGGCCATCTGAGTTAAATTCACCCTTTCCAGTCCATTTTAGTTTGCTGATTCCTAGAATGTCAACATTTATTCTTGCCATCTCCTGTTTGACCACTTCTAATTTGCTTTGATTCATGGACCTAACATTCCAGGTTCCTATGCAGTATTGTTCTTTATAGCATTGGACTTTACTTCCATCACCAGTCACATCCACAGCTGGGTGTTGTTTTTGCTTTGTCTCTGTCTCTTCATTCTTTCTGGAGTTATTTCTTCACTGATATTTAATCCAGTTTT